ACTCGTGTCCAAGAGCCAGATTTTTAATGTCATACAGTTACCTTTACGTGTGTACGTTTACAATATGTACATAGAGATTTATACATGACAATGATGCATTTACAGACGTACGCAATGCATATTATACAATTTCATCTGAATGGTCATGACTCAATGACATTTATGCCTATTTATCTATAATGTAGCCGAGACTTGACATTCGTGACAGTCGGCATGTCGCTTGAGGCGTCAGTCAGCCATCTTTAATTACAAATGACGTACGACGTCACAAATGACGTACAACGTCACAAAGGACGTACGACGTCACAAATGACGTACAACGTCACAAAGGACGTTCAGGCCAAGCTGTGACACTTTATCTGATGGCACTCTTTAGTGTTCAGTGCGCCAACATTTCATTTTGCATTTTACATTTCTTTATGCTTATAAACCATGTAAATCTGTATGTACATTTTGTAAACGTATACACGTAAAACTAGCTGCATGGCATTATCTACACCCCAATTGTGTACTATCAAGAGAATATTGTGTGTATTTTACGTTTTCCTATTGGTTACAGAAGCGAACGGGAATGAAACCAAATCATTTCACAGAGCTTACATCTGATTGGCTAAAAAACGTATTCTTCATATAGATTGGGTGGTCAAAGTTTCCAGAGGGTTCACATCATGTGACCTTGGATACCGCGTCTAGAAAGAGGTAGCCATCGGATCATACGGAAGCCTTTTAGGGCCATTTTTTTATAACATTTTTTTCGATACTTTGTTGAAATTTCAAGATACTAAGTTGAAATTTCAAGATAATAGGTTAACATCCCAAGATGAAAAAATACGTTTGAAGTGAATAATCTTGAAATTTCAAGATCCTACGGAAGCCTTTTAGGGCCATTTGGTTTTTTTATATTGTTTTCGATACTTTGTTGAAATTTCAAGATACTAAGTTGAAATTTCAAGATAATAGGTTAACATCCCAAGATGAAAAAATACGTTTGAAGTGAATAATCTTGAAATTTCAAGATCCTACGGAAGCCTTTTAGGGCCATTTGGTTTTTTTTATATTGTTTTCGATACTATCTTGAAATTTCAAGATACTAAGTTGAAATTTCAAGAAACTAAGTTGAAATTTCAAGATAATATCGAAAAAAAATTTAAAACCCAAATGGCCCTAAAAGGCTTCCGTAGGATCACATGAATAGACAGTCTTGTGTGTTCACAGATCTTGCCAACATCTGCTCAGACCTAGTGATATCTTGTTCCCTATCACTGTTATAGAGACAATTATTTGCGAGTGACGAGGAATGACGGATTATCTGCCCCGAATGAATTTAAGGCCCGAGTCTTTGCTTCAACATTAATTATTACGAGGGACAGATAATCCGTTATTCCTCGTCACGAATAGTTTATTGTTTTATTACCCATCGTCACGTTTTAAATAAGCTAAAAAGACAAGAAACAGTTTACTCTTATAACAAGCTAAGTCACATTTCATAATATTCATACGCCTGTGAAACGGCATCGAATTTGTGGAATTTAACCTGATCACACTAAGTCTGCACTCAACACTAAGAATCCGCAAATGCGAAATAAGTCGTTTGAGCGGCATTAATTCCTCGACAATTTAAGCAATATAATGAATTTTGGAGGCAAATATACATTTTAGTTGTAAATTCTAATTCAGGGAGGGTACAGAAAAATACATTCCGCATCTCCGTTTCCATACGGGTAACCAAATTGTATCACCTCTGTAATGAAGTCGTTCAGCTGTTTGTTTTTGTTTGTTTGATACCTGACATCTTCTAAGACGCAGTAACAACTGTATCATGCCATGAAGTAAAGTCCTCGCATAGACTGGTTCCTGGTTGTCATTGCACAGCATGAACTTAATGATGTAAGACGATCTCATCACTTTCTGTTTGATAAATCTATATTTAGAGCGTCATGCTGAAGACCCAGGTTCGATTCCTGACATAGGTAAAATGTGTGAAGCCCATTTCTGGTGTTCCCCCCCTCCAAATATATACAACAATGGTGAGCACACAACAGACTTGCTCCAGCCCTCTCCAAGGAACATGCTCGGTCTCTGGGAAGTCTTGTTTGTTCTCCATTTATGTGTGTATATATAAAAAATAAACTGTTTTTTTGGGACGCGCAATTATATTCACTGTACCACCATCGAATCAAGAGCAGTTATGGGAGTCTGTCATTTCATCCATCAAGCATGACCATGGTCCACGTGATCATTGATTCATTCTGGGCTCTAAAGTAATGATCAAAATGTACAGTACACTACACCATTTCATTACTTTACGTCTAAGGCGCCGTGATTCGCTGTGCAGAGTTGCGTCACGCCAGAAACCTGTGATTGTGGGTTCGAATCCCGGTTCGCCCCGATTATGTTTCTAGGTTTGTCAGCACCATACCCGTGCTCGTGGGTTTCACCGAAGTGGTAAACGTCTGAGACCTGCATCACTTCGGGCTTTCCTCCCACATTAAGCTGACACGCCGCGATATAACTGTAATACTGTTTAAAAAAGGGGCGTTAAACCCAACTCACTCACTCACTCATTACTTTACAGGACCCTTACAATTACTTATTGGGGGTCCCCTAGACCCCCACTTTTGTCAGTGAAGGTAAAGCCCTGGGCCCACTTGCACAAAGCGATCTTAAGGCTAAGACTATTGTAAGCCTATGTTAAAGTATGGGAGTTACGATCATCTTAGCGCTAAGATCGCTGCAAGTGGGCTCTGGTGCAGGCTCTCCTCCATGTGGTGTTTCTGGTAGTGCACCTTCAGACTGCTTTCATAGGAGAACTCCTTGCTGCAGATGTCACAGCAGAACTGCTTGATGTTGCTGTGACTGTTCACATGGGAGAGATAGTGCTGCCTATGTATGAGCATCTTCCCACAAACATGGCATCTGTATTTGGTGGAGGCCTCGTGTTTCAAACGCATGTGTTGGTTGAGGTTGGACACGGTGGAGTAGGAGGTGCCACAGATGGAACAGGCGTGTGTTCTCCTGGACTCCGGCATGGATAGTCCGCATTGCACTTCGCTTGCCATTGTGACTTCGTGGAACATAGTGTCACGGTCCATGTAACCTGCATAGAAACAAGGCTGTTAAATTCAGACTGTTAATGCGATTGCATACTGGTCTTGAATCAGCAGCAACGCAATTAATTTGTGGTTGAAACGCATCTACCTGTCTGTTACAGCAGGAACAACCTCATAGAAGGAAAATCTGCTTTCTTTGTGTTGTAATGAGAACGGAATGAGGAGAGGAAGGGGGTTCATAACAAAAAGGAATGCCTAGCGGGTAGAGCGTTTGCCTGGAGACCGGAAGGTCATTAGTTCCATCCCCCGGCTTGTCATACGAGACGTTAAACAATGGTACTTGTTGTTACCCTGCCTTGGGGATAAAACAAAGACTGTTTGTCTCTCTCTCTCACACACACACACACACTTATTAAATCTAATGTAGAAAAAGGTCACAATGGCCTTGAGTGAGGAGTACCAGGTGGTCACAATGGCCTTGAGTGAGGAGTATCACAATGGCCTGGAGTGAGGAGTACCAGGTGGTCACAATGGCCTTGAGTGAGGAGTATCACAATGGCCTGGAGTGAGGAGTATGGAGTGGTCACAATGGCCTGGAGAGAGGAGTATGGAGTGGTCACAATGGCCTGGAGTGAGTAATATGGAGTGGTCACAATGGCCTGGAGTGAGTAATATGGAGTGGTCACAATGGCCTGGAGTGAGGAGTATGGAGTGGTCACAATGGCCTGGAGTGAGGAGTATCACAATGGCCTTGAGTGAGGAGTACCAGGTGGTCACAATGGCCTTGAGTGAGGAGTATCACAATGGCCTGGAGTGAGGAGTATGGAGTGGTCACAATGGCCTGGGGTGAGGAGTATGGAGTGGTCACAATGGCCTGGAGTGAGGAGTATGGAGTGGTCACAATGGCCTGGAGTGAGGAGTATGGAGTGGTCACAATAGCCTGGAGTGAGGAGTATGGAGTGGTCACAATGGCCTGGAGTGAGGAGTATGGAGTGGTCACAATAGCCTGGAGTGAGGAGTATGGAGTGGTCACAATGGCCTGGAGTGAGGAGTATGGAGTGGTCACAATGGCCTGGAGTGAGGAGTATGGAGTGGTCACAATGGCCTGGAGTGAGGAGTATGGAGTGGTCACAATGGCCTGGATTGAGGAGTATGGAGTGGTCACAATGGCCTGGAGTGAGGAGTATGGAGTGGTCACAATGGCCTGGAGTGAGGAGTATGGAGTGGTCACAATGGCCTGGAGTGAGGAGTATGGAGTGGTCACAATGGCCTGGAGTGAGGAGTATCACAATGGCCTTGAGTGAGGAGTACCAGGTGGTCACAATGGCCTTGAGAGAGGAGTATCACAATGGCCTGGAGTGAGGAGTATGGAGTGGTCACAATGGCCTGGAGTGAGTAGTATGGAGTGGTCACAATGGCCTGGAGTGAGGAGTATTGAGTGGTCACAATGGCCTGGAGTGAGGAGTATGGAGTGGTCACAATGGCCTGGAGTGAGGAGTATCACAATGGCCTTGAGTGAGGAGTACCAGGTGGTCACAATGGCCTTGAGAGAGGAGTATCACAATGGCCTGGAGTGAGGAGTATGGAGTGGTCACAATGGCCTGGAGTGAGTAGTATGGAGTGGTCACAATGGCCTGGAGTGAGGAGTATTGAGTGGTCACAATGGCCTGGAGTGAGGAGTATGGAGTGGTCACAATGGCCTGGAGTGAGGAGTATGGAGTGGTCACAATGGCCTGGAGTGAGTAATATTGAGTGGTTACAATGGCCTGGAGTGAAGAGTATGGATTGGTCACAATGGCCTTGAATGAGGAGTATCAGGTGGTCATAATGGCCTTTCACTTGAATCCAACACATCTTGCCTAAACCAATCCACTATTATCTGTGCCATCCCTGCAGTTAATCTTCATGCAGAATAAAACAAACAGGTAATAACCAACGAAAAAACACACAGATGTCAACTAATTTATTATGAAAGTTATACATGCATATATAGTCAGAAGATGAGAATTGCATGAATAATGACTACTTTTACATTAACAGGATTAAACTTGAGACAGAATGTAAACCACAGAATTACGACCGAAATGATTTGAGTGCAGAAATGATGAAAGAGTTCAGCTCATCTGCGGTCATGTATGGTATCATGATATCATAAAAGTGGGTTGTCTTCCAACGCAATAATGAGTGTTTTCAAGACAAACATGGATAGAAAATATCTATAAAATTCATGGTCAGCACAAAACATCTTATAAATAAACAAGAAAGGTCCTATGCATAATGCCACTATGGCCATAGGCCAGTGGGGGTTGTTCAAACATATTGAATCTTGCCTCCCAATAACCACATAATCATAAGAATCAACCATGGTATTTTGTGTGTTGGTGCTGAAACGGTTTTGTACCAAATAAATTGTCACAGACATTACGGGAAAAATATATATGTGTTACTTCAAGTTTAAAAAGAAACAAAAACATTCATTCTGCTACTCCTGTGAGGAATAATAATTGTATGTGTTGAAACAGTTGCCAAAAATAAAAAATAAAAAGTTACAAAATCCAAAGCATCAACCAAAAACATTAAATGACCAGTTCCCCATGGCGAACACACTTCTGAGGTAAGTATCTGGTATATCACTGAGGTCTGTCATAATCAAATCTTGTGTCTGCAAGGGTTCTTTTTCCCTCTAACATCAACTTTCTCAAAAGGGCAAATACAGAACACAGTATGTTGGTGGTTCTGTCAAGTACTGTTCCAAGTGAGCAGTGAGTAACATTGAGTTCAGTGCTGTATCTCACAGCCTTTCAGCTTAACATTCAAGAAAAGCTACTAGAAACACCATGTCATGGTTCTGAACTTCTGACAGATGAAGGGACTCAAAGTCACAACCAACAGATCCAGTAGAGTCAATTACGGCTAACTGACTACTTGGCCACCCAGGCCGCTAATACAAAACAGTGGCTGCTCATGAAAACAAATCTACATAAGTGAGTGAGTGAGTTGGGCTTAACGCCGCTTTTAACAGTATTCCAGTCATATCACGGCGTGTCAGCTTAATGTGGGAGGAAAGCCCGAAGTGATGCAGGTCTCAGACGTTTACCACTTCGGTGAAACCCAAGAGCACGGGTATGGTGCTGACAAACCTAGAAACATAATAGGCGCGAACCGGGATTCAAACCCACAATCATAGGTTTCTGGCGTGCCCAAGGGACGCAACTCTGCGCAGCGAGTCGCGGCACCTTAGACGACTGGGCCACCCGTGCCCCCCACATCTACATAAGGAAACAACATTTCCTTCCATGCTTGAATTGTCCTGGCTTGTATCAGAAAACCCTTCCACAAGCACACTGATAGTTCTTATTCTCATGAGCAGCTTCCTTGTGATAATTCATAGCGCTGGAGTCGGAAAACATCCTCCCGCAAACTGGACACTCTTTCCCCCTTGTTTTCACCACACTTGATGAATCACCACAACTGACAAATGTCTCGGTCAAAGATGTACCATATCCTAATTGACCATGACCCTTTTATCTGTTCAGCTCACTCAGGATGCAACCATGTTCCTGAAGAACCAAAATGTCCACCAACAACTGACTGTTTTTCTGAAGAACCAAGATGTCCACCAACAACTGACTGTCTTTCTGAAGAACCAAGATGTCCACCAACAACTGACTGTTTTTTGGAAGAACCATGGTATCTAGTGAGAACTGCCTGTCTTTCTGCTGTCACATGGACAGCTAGGTCACCACTATTCAACCATGTTCCTGAAGAACCAAGATGTCCACCAACAACTAACTGTCTTTCTGAAGAACCATGGTATCTAGTGAGAACTGCCTGTCTTTCTGCTGTCACAGGTTACACATATTCAACCATGTTTCTGTAGAACCAAGATGTCCACCAACAACTAACTGTCTTTCTGAAGAACCATGGTATCTAGTGAGAACTGCCTGTCTTTCTGCTGTCACATGGACAGCTAGGTCACACATATTCAACCATGTTTCTGTAGAACCAAGATGTCAACCAACAACTAACTGTCTTTCTGAAGAACCATGGTATCTAGTGAGAACTGCCTGTCTTTCTGCTGTCACAGGTTACACATATTCAACCATGTTTCTGTAGAACCAAGATGTCAACCAACAACTAACTGTCTTTCTGAAGAACCATGGTATCTAGTGAGAACTGCCTGTCTTTCTGCTGTCACATGGACAGCTAGGTCACACATATTCAACCATGTTTCTGTAGAACCAAGATGTCAACCAACAACTAACTGTCTTTCTGAAGAACCATGGTATCTAGTGAGAACTGCCTGTCTTTCTGCTGTCACATGGACAGCTAGGTCACACATATTCAACCATGTTTCTGAAGAACCAAGATGTCAACCAACAACTAACTGTCTTTCTGCTGTCACATGGACAGCGGGGTCACCACTATTCAGCCATGTTCCAGCAGCAACATCATAGCTACCTCAGAAGCATCTCTTTCCATTTTTGATGCAGTCTGTTAGAGTGTCTTGCAGATAACCTGCTTGTTTGACTAAGGAGTAAACAATCTGTAAATGAGAAAAATCCTGATCTTCATTTGTATTCATTTCATCTTTAAATACTTTACTCAGATACATTATCACAAACAACAGGGGGACAATGGAGCCCAAGTTTTAACCAACACAAAAATAAGCAGTCTGTGTAAAGTGTGTGTTTCCGATGCAAAATTCGCTCTCATACAATACCCAAAGCAATCAGGCCTATCATCCTCTAAATGCGTTTATACAGATGATATACCTTGAGCCTTGCATCTGACCAAACAAACTCATTATAAGACAATGCTATTTTCCTTCCTCATACTCAAGGTTTTTCAATATTGCTGTTTCCAAATCTTGAATTCCACTTGGAAAGAAATTTAAAGCAACAGCCATCAGTTACAATTACCATCACAAATTGACAACCAACAAGACCCTTTTTATCTGCTGTCAATGCCACGGAAGAGTGTCCTCACTTGGCAGCCCTGGCTGAGAAACACACTCTCTTGTGAGCCATCAAGCCAGTCTGGAATCGGAACACCTGCCCACAGACACACTTATGGTTGTACCGCACATGCATCGCCATGTCAACTGTGGAACTGAAACTCCTGTTGCATTGCGGGCAGGAGAATCTCCTCTTCTGTCCGACGGCTGATGCTACTACGAGTTTCTTGGCACTGTCTCTTACAACGGTGGGACTGAGAGATGCGCGTCTTGACATGGATGCATCCTGCAGGCTTCTCCTTGTGGTCCTCCTGGAGGCAGGTGTGCAGAGGGATTTCACTGAAAGCATGGAGGTTGACCTTCCTGAAAGCAACAAAAAGTGGAATCTTCACAAATGTCCTTCCTTCTTGATACTGGATATTTATTAAAGCAGTTGTAGAGAAACCAGATGAAACATAGCAATATTCATAGGCTCCTTTCAAGTCTGTTATATCCAAGTAATGATTCCTGATCCTTTAAGCTAGGATTGCATCCTGTAATCATATTGGTGTAAGTCTGGATCCTAAAATCTTTGGTAGCTGGATAATTATTGCAAGTTTATACAGTTGATGTAACTCTTCAAATTCCTTTCCTATTCAAGTCTATATTCACATGACAAGGCTTGCACATCCATCAGGACTGAGAAGACATCAGTTTGGTCACAATGAACACATTTTTAACATGTTCTTCAAGACAAATAATACTTTCAATATCATTTGTTGTGCTAACATCTTATGCAGCATATGTAACAGTCAAAGGGATAAGGATAGAGAGTGATCTGTTGGGCAAACACGAACTTTATTACAGTTGATGAATTCCTCAACACATCTCCAAACCTTTGAAATCCACAAACCCCAAAATCGATCACTTGACCGAGCAGTCCTTCGCAAAACCCAACAATAATCCATCCAAGATGACAATATGGACAAAACCACAAAACGTATCCTCCCAACAGAGTGAACTCCCTCTTCCAGATCAAGCAGTGTTATTCAGGGCTAACATCACTGGGCAAGTCCGCCTATGAGCGATGAGACCGGGGTTATATTTGTAGGTCTTCCCACAGACACATTGGTGAACTGCTCCCTCATGAACAGACTCCCGATGGTATTTCAAAGCACTTGGGGCAATAAAGGTCTTATTACAGTAGGAACAAGCCAGTTTCCTTCTGTCTGACCCCATGTCTGTCCCAGCTGACCCCATGCCCGACCCTGGGGCAGAACCGATCTGAGGACCGGTCTGAGGACGTCCTCCAGCACCACCTTGGCCTGTCCAAAACCCAGACCGCATTTGAGGGAAATATATCGGCAAACTGGGTGTGATGGAACCACCTGAAAATACAAAACAAAGTGGGATGTGGTTGCTGAAAATGTACACACAGGTGCTTTAAAGGGCATGATCACATGAAACTTATTCCAATTTTCTTGTACCTTCAAGAAGCAATGTTTTTACCTAGTTCAATACATAGCTAAACAAGACAAAAAGTGAGCAGGGCTCACTAATACCTCCCACTTCGACTTCAACATATTTCTAAGCGCAAAAAATTAAAAGAGCATCATTTCCTCAGAAAATCCACTTATCGAAATCAAGCTTTGCACTGCACGTCTCCTATTGGTATACAAACAATACCCCCAATGGAGAATTCATGAAGTAATTATCAAGGTATAGGTTGCACAAATGTTGAAGTAAAAAAATATATGCTAACTTCATATTTTCTCAGAAAATCCACATGTCAAAATCAAACTGTCCACTGACCTATTCCATTAGAATGGAAACTGTTTGCTAAATTTATAAAGGATCCATGCAGTAGTTTTCAAGTTATAGGTCGCACAAATGTTTAAGTTAAAAACATTGTTAGGAAATAAATGAAAAATAGCTAATATTTTTCAAAAAAATCCAAACATTTAAATCAAACTTTGAACTGTACCTCTCCTATTGGTATAGAAACTGTTAACCATGTTTCGAAAAGAACCTTTGCAGTAGTTTTCAAGTTATATGTCACACACAAAAATGTCCTCAGAAGAACAGATGGAATTCCTTGGTATAACTATATACCCCCGCCCTTACAGGTATAGATAAAAGTGAATTATATCAATTCACACACTGACAGCAAATTCTATTTCTATAATAACCATACCATGGCTGTTGTCCCGATATAACATTGGTGCCAGTCAAGAATGACATGATGTCTTTCAGCCTTTTAGAGCTGTTCCACATGATGTCAGTACAGGGGTGTGATTCTAGCATCTTAGACGAACATCATACTATATTATCATACCTCTATGTCAGAATGATGAGATCTGATTGGTCCATGTGATCTTGATAAAATACTGTGTAACCTGCCTTGGGAGGTTAAATAAATTTCTCAGTGGGAGAATAAATCACTTATACCCCGCCATGAACAATGAAGGCTGTATGTGGATATCTGGGAGGCAGAATAAATCCCTTCAATCGCGTCAATGCAAAAAGCTGCACGCTTCCTGTCACCTCCGAGTCAATGGAAGTCATGTGACATAGGACCGCCTCCGTGGTCTAGTGGTAGAGCGTCCGCCCGGAGAGCGGAAGGTCCGGGGTTCGATCCCCGGCCGCGTCATACCAAAAGACGTTAAAAGATTGTACTTGTTGTTACCCTGTCTGGTGCTCGGCATTAAGGGGCTAAAACAAGGACTGGTCGGCTCAGAGTCAGTATACTGTGTCTGAGTGGGGTATTCGTGTTAAACTGGGGCATGGTATCAGCCACACAGCAGCCACACAAACACAACCACGTACATGCACGTCGCTATATAAGTGCAATAATTTTGGAAGCGACTTTAAACCCCATTTAACCTCACCTCATGTGACATAGCACAAGTTAACCTCAGCTCAATCGAACAGGTGATTGTGTTTATTCTCTTACAATGTCACATTAAAACCTATCAGTGAGATACATTCGTTGTAGCTGGATCACGAGGGGTACATGGGGTTTTATATCATGAGCCGGAGGCTTGTGGTATAAACCCTAACGTGGAACACATAAAACCCACTGTACCCCTCGTACTCCTGCTACAACTTATAATGTGCATCACTAGATTGTCTGGTCCATACTCGATTATCTACAGACCACCATCATGTATCTGGTTGTTGGTTGGTTGGTTGGTTTGTTGTTTAACGCCGCACTCAGCAATATTCCAGCTATATGACGGCGGTCTGTAAATAATCGAGTCTGGAACAGACAATCCAGTGATTAATATCATGAGCATCGATCCACGCAATTGGGATCGATGACATGCATCAACCAAGTCAGCGAGCCTGACCACCCGATCCCGTTAGCTGCCTCTTATGACGAGCATAGTCGCCTTTTACGGCAAGCATGGGTTGCTGAAGACCTATTCTACCCTGGATTTTCATGGGTCCAGAGGGTGGTACTCTATGCGAAGAATCATGTAGCTGGAATATTGCTGAGTGTGGTGTTAAAGAACAAACAAAAACTTACTCCTAATCAGGTAAATGTTACGATCAATGACAATATTTTATGCTGTTCCTGACAATGTTGACTCTTCATCTGTTGACCAGATCAATGATACCTGTTTATCTGTCCATAAGATCATTGATAACCTCTATTCAAACAAGCTACTAATACAACAACTGATTGTTATCACAAGATCAATGAAACACTTTATCAGATGACATGATCAGCTGTGAGTCATATTCCTACAACACCGCCTCTGTGGTCTCGTGGTAGAGCGTCTGCCCGGAGAGCGGAAGGTCCGGAGTTCGATCCCCGGAGTTCGATCCCCGGCCGCGTCATACCAATAGACGTTAAAAGATGGTTCTTGTTGTTACCCTGTCTGGCGCTCGGCATTAAGGGGCTGAAACAAGGACTGGTCGGCTCGGAGTCAGTATACTGTATCTGAGTGGGGTATTCATGTTAAACTGTGGCATGGTATCTCGGTGAGCTAGCACTTTTAATCAGCTAGTACAAGCAGCCACACAAACCCACACAAACACGTGCATGCACGTCGCTGTATAAGTGTAATAATCTTGGACGCGACGTTAAACCCCATTTCATCTCACCTCACCTGATATTCCTACAATATCAGTGACAGCTATTGATCATGATGACAGGATGAATCACTCCCACACTCTTGACAGCAAGGTGCAGTTATTATTCTGTCAATAAGATCAACGATAAGTGCACATGGACGTGCAGTGGAAGTATGGAGATCACTCCCCCAACCCCCATTATGAGTTTTACATTTGCTAAAACTTTATTGTAAATAGAATCTTTTTTAATATTCCTTTGTAAACAATACAATACATTCAGATGAGAGAATGAGACAGGTTTTAATTACATCAGTGAGGTGTATATTTCAGAAATATCAGGTAAGTCTTTGATAGGAATTTAGATGTTGTAAGAATGTTAAGACTTTTATGGATAGCATCTTCCTTATTGTTTTCAATATTTCAGGGCTACTTCTAGCCCCTTCATCAAGTGAATAACTTCTTTATTGTTTTCAATATTTCAGGGCTACTTCTAGCCCCTTCATCAAGTGAATAACAACTTCTTTATTGTATAACATTTCAGGGCTACTTCTAGCCCCTTCATCAAGTGAATAAAAACTTTCTTATTGTGTAACATTTCAGGGCTACTTCTAGACCCTTCATCAAGTGAATAACTTCTTTATTGTTTTCAATATTTCAGGGCTACTTCTAGCCCCTTCATCAAGTGAATAACAACTTTCTTATTGTATAATGTTTCAGGGCTACTTCTAGCCCCTTCATCAAGTGAATAACAACCTTCTTATTGTGTAACGTTTCAGGGCTACTTCTAGCCCCTTCATCAAGTGAATAACAACTTTCTTATTGTGTAACATTTCAGGGCTACTTCTAGCCCCTTCATCAAGTGAATAACAACTTTCTTATTGTATAGCGTTTCAGGGCTACTTCTCCTCAATTTTCAGAAAAATTTCATGTCTTGCTACCTGAACAACCATGTCTTTCATTCTGATTACACACCACAATCACAAATATCCAGCAAGCTCTCCACACTATATTCTATCAAAGGGCACACCATCACTACCCTCGTCATTGATTACTCTAGCGGTGCTGCAGATTTTTGCAACATATTGACTAAGATTAATCTTCTTTGTCAACATAAAACTCAATGTGAAACATCATATTTGAGCGCTCAAACAGCGTAGAAAACATAGATTATGTAGATGTGTCAAAGCTACTTGTGTACGGTAGGTAGGTTGTATTAATGTGAGGGACAACTGATTGCGGTATCTGCCACCTGCCTGTCTCGAGCTGATAAACAGCTGTTGATATGTGGATTTATTTCTATCGGCCTGACACGTGTCCATGACTTCATTTATCATGTTTATTGCCTTTTCATACTAAAAGTCCAATGCAATAGATCCTTGTCACTTCATCCATCCCTTGATCCCTGAGATTCCTTTAAGCACCTGCTAGAGATTCCTTTAAGCACCTGCTAGAGATTCCTTTAAGCACCTGTACAAGATTCCTTTAAGCACCTGCTAGAGATTCCTTTAAGCACCTGCACGAGATTCCTTACAGCACCTGCACGAGATTCCTTTAAGCACCTGCATGAGATTCCTAAAAGCACCTGCACGAGATTCCTTTAAGGCACCAGCACGAGATTCCTTACAGCACCTGCACGAGATTCCTTTAAGCACCTGCACGAGATTCCTTACAGCACCTGCTAGAGATTCCTTTAAGCACCTGCACAAGATTATTTACAGATTGCCGTCAAACAGCTGGAATATCACTGAGTGCGGCGTTAAACAACAAACAAACAATGAATTATTAATTTCTTTTTTATGACCACAAACAGGATTAAGTACACACAAAAATGTAAAATAATCAGGATGCCAACATGTATGATAGATCACCAACCAATCACGAATATCATGGCAATGTTGCCTTGACTGAAGACAACAATTATGAAGTCTTCTCACAAAAACATGGAAGAAACAAATAGACTAACAGGTAGTCAGTGAAGTATTCATTACACAATAAATAGAAAAACCAAACAAGTATTTCTAATGCTGATTTGTGAGGAATATGACAAGCTACATTCAGCTGTAATTATCTGATTTCCCTTGATGAGTGAGTGAGTGAGTGAGTGCGTGAGTTTTGTTTTACGCCGCTTTTAGCAATATTCCAGCAATTTTACAGCGGGGGACACCAGAAATGGGCTTCACACGTTGTACCCATGTCGGGAATCGAACCCGGGTCTTCGGCATGACGATCGAACGCTTTAACCACTAGGCTACCCGACCGCCCCTTATCTCCATGAAACTAAAAGGAGGCATTCTGCAATCATGCTACAGGATTACTAAGCCGATAAATCATGAACTTGTCAGATAACTGATACTTTAACAAATACATCAGTGAGTGAGTTGGGTTTAACGCCGCTTTTAACAGTATTCCAGTTATATCGCGGTGTGTCAGCTTAATGTGGAAGGAAAGCCCGAAGTCATGCAGGTCTCAGACGTTTACCACTTCGTTGAAACCCACGATCACAGTTATGGTGCTGACAAACCTAGAAACATAATCGGGCCAAACCGGGATTCGAACCCATAGTCATAGGTTTGTGGCATGCCCAAGAGTGCAACTCTGCACAGCAAATCGCAGCGTCTTAGACGACTGGGCCACCCGTGCCCCCCAAATCTACATAAAGAAACAACATTGCCTTCCATGCTTGAATAGTCCTGGCTTGTATCTGTAAACCCTCCACAAGCACACTAATAGTTCTTATTATCATGAGCAGCTTCCTTGTGATAATTCATAGCGCTGGAGTCGGAATACATCCTCCCGCAAACTGGACACTCTTTCCACCTTGTTTTCACCACACTTGATGAATCACCACAACTGACAAATGCACAGCGAATCGCAGCGTCTTAGACGACTAGGCCACCCAAATACATTAGTGATATCAAGTGTCAAATTATATGACAACTTGATGACCTTTGACCCAGATGTTAAGACACACATCATAGCTGACTGAAGGATATTTGGCACTGCCGGCAAACCATACTTCTCACGTGAAGTCAGAAGCATTCAAGGTCAATCACCGACACCCATTAAAACAGGTATGAATCCAGAGAAATAATTTGTTCATGGTTCATCCTAGACTTGCACAAGTTTCTTAGGCAATAATTATTTGTTTAAATCATCATTTCTGGATTATATAAATAATAAGAACAAGTTGTCCCTTTAAGAGACTGTCATCCTTAGATGTACTGTCCACTTATCTAGACTTGCCCTTTTTAAGGATAAAACTACCATGCACCCATGGACTTATCTCTCAGTACAGCCTTGGAGGAAGGCTAGGTTTGTCCCTCCTGACACACGACACACACATTGTTTGTTTGCTTGTTGCCACACTCTGCAATATTACAGCTATATGACGGCACGCTGTTTATAATCAAGTCTGGAACAGACAGTCCAGTGACTGAGAACACGCACTTGGAATATAATGATATGTAGTCAGCGAGTCTGACTACCCAATCCATTTAGTCGCCTCTTACGACAAGCAGAGGTACCATGTTTTCTTGAGTATAGTGCGCACCCAAGTATAATGCGCACCCCCCTCTAGCAGATTCAGTATTTGGGAAAAAAAAGAATTTGAATATTATGCGCAGTAAAAAATTACACCGTACCCCTTCAGTGAATTCCGGTAACGAACAGGTGATAAAAAAACTTGTTCAGTACAAATTTGAAATTTGAGATACAAATCACCGGATATGTTGATCTACCATTTCTATTGTATTTTTTATTGTTTTACATCCAGGGATAAAGATTACCTTGCGTATTTTCTCATAAACTAAGATGGAAACAGCAATGAGCTGTACACATGTTTTCTTGGAATCTACTGGTGATTCAGTTAAAACTTACCCAATTATATAACTTTAAAGGATGTTAATGCAAGGATCAGTACAAATTGTATCTGAAACTATTTTTTTTATCAAACTACAACAAATATGACTTTTAAAGAGTCAAAGTATGGCATTTATGATATAGGTATCCATACTCTGTCAGCTAAAGTTCGTTTCAAGGCGTCAATAGCAGTAATCTGACTGTGGTTGCTGTTAATAACGGTGAGTTGTGTGATCTTCTGATCGCTTCACACATGATTTCGCGGAAATTAATTAAACCAATATTTTGAATGAAATTAATGAAATAAGTTACAAACATAAGTCCAGATATACAATGAACACTTTTTATAACCAGACAGTGTAATTACATGATTAATTTGTCTAGTAAGATACTTCCTGTCTGCCTAGTTAGATACTTCCTGTCTGTCCAGCAACGCATTTGTCTTACTTGTAAATGCTATTCCTGAGCAAAATAGATCAATTGTGGTCAAACGTTTTACATAGGTTAAATATATTCTCTAAAACAAGACAGGCATAGGTTGTTACAATAATTTTAAAAGTAAACTTCATGGATGGATCAGAGATACCCCACATCATCCCAAAAGCTCAGGATCCCTCCATCCCGGTCAATCACCTTGGCAACAGGACACTCACTGCAACACAAATTCCTGATTTACATCCCATATCTGCACAGACCGTCGGTGACAATGGACAAGCTGCTGGAATTCAAGCAAGGCCTGAAGTTGGCAATTTTTACCTCGGCAAAATCAATTTCAGCGGCGGCTGTGACGTTGATCACATCAACTGGGGCATCCCCAACGTTGGTGTCGTGTTTGCTTCAGCGGAGAATCCTGTCTCCTTAACCTTCAGCCTGCTGAATTTTTTTCACACTTCTTACCCCCGCCTGCTCGATTAATTTTAGCATAAGGCGCTGTAAAGAGGGTTGGTGACTTCAAACAGTCGGTGCTTCATTAAACAAGGGCCAATTGAAGAAATATTTTGCACATTTATTCTTGATGGAAAACTACACATTACTATATAAAAATATCCTGATGTTTTCAATCATACCAAGGTTAAGACCAAAGCAAACACAAACTTTGTAAATTTTCTTGAACTTACCTAAATTATGTTATTGAAGGTGGTTTGCGGAGAGATGGGTAGATCTGTGTTTGTTGGTGATGGAATGAGTGTTATACCGGATGTTGCTAACAACATTTTCCAACAATGGTAGACACGACAATACCAGGCTTTTTAATATTTGATTAACTGTTTCACTTTGTAATCCTCCAAACACACCCATGTCCCACAAATCGCTTTCAAAGCCTTGTAGCAGTCACAGAATGAATTTCTTGAAAACCACATGTGCATTTCTTTTTAGGGGACGTAGTTTCACCCTCAACCATTCGCATCACTGTTCAAATTCCAATAAATGAACAGTATTACAAACCATTAACGTCGGACCTCAATGAATCTGAAGATTTCTTGCAGTCAAAACAACCAGCATCTGTTGGACAACTGTTGGACAACTGTTGGACAACTGTTGGACAAAGATCTCTGCTGTTCAAGACAACAACAGCAGATTTATGTTTTTATTCTGGCGACCAAATTTCCAACATCATCATCATCATGATCCAAGGAGACTTGAGTGATTATTGACATCCATTTCAACATCAAACCATAGGTTTGAGACTGCTTTAAATTATTGTATATCTATTTGATTTTCTGCCTGACATATCTGGTGGACCATGCATTTCTTCCTATGAAGCCACAGTCCATTCCGTGACTTATACGACTTTCCACACCTACAGTCAAACGTGACGTTATCATGAATGGTTGCGTAGTGGTTCTGCATGGCCCGCATGCTGAGGAAGGACTTGTCACAGAGGGGACAAGCCACTTTATCTACAGCCCCACCCCCCAAGTCCATCAAGCCACTGGGGCCAGACACAGGCGGCCGGCCCGGCCAGGCTCCCATATATCTCGTAACGTCAATCAGGGCAGGGAAGGAGGAGGGATGAGCACTGGGTTCTCTCAGCGGGTCAAAGCTCAGGGATGAAGCTCTGAGAGCCAGGTGTTGCTTATTGTCATTTTTTTCATACAGAGAGCTACCTGCCGGACTGAAGCCAACTGAACTCTGTTGACCTGAAATTAACAAGAGTTCAAGCTTGAGTCCATGTTTGATATCGGCAAGACAATTTGCATTCCAAAGGGGAAACAAAAAATTCCAAAAAGGGAACAGAATATATCAAAATAAATGGTAGCTGTTGAATACAATTAAGTCTTTGACATGACAGTTAGTAAAGTGTTTGAGTTCTGATTGAAGGTGTTGTGATGTTTTCCCCATCATGGGTCAAATACAACCTTGACCTTCACCTATGACCTTGACACAATGATGAAACATCGTTGTAGGGCAAGACCAATTCGCTCGCTTCATGAGCACCTGGTGTCATCATTGTATAATGTGAATGATCCCCAATGATCAACATAAGCATAATTCTTCAGATTTAGAATTTAAAATTTTGTGGCAGATATCACCACATATTGGAGCTTTAAAAAAGTCATGAAACTAATGCTGGTAGAACTCCAATGCAATAATAAATCTTAGCTCACTCACCAATAGGTTTCAGGATTGATAACTAAGAACGATGTGGTGTTTTCCTTCAAACAGCTTTAAGTTATTTCACTTGGAATGACACCGAATCGCAAAACAGTCCACCACAACAACAAAATGTATAGTTCAATGGAGCAGCCTCAGGACCAGCATCTCCCTTGTATCAACACAACCTCATCTAATGACCTGCTATGTTGGACTGGATCAGTATAGTTCAATGGAGCAGCCTCAGGACCAGCATATCCCTTGTATCAACACAACCATCATCATCTAATGACCTGCTATGTTGGACTGGATCAGTATAGTTCAATGGAGCAGCCTCAGGACCAGCATCTCCCTTGTATCAACACAAACATCATCATCTAATGACCTGCTATGTTGCACTGGATCAGTATAGTTCAATGGAGCAGCCTCAGGACCAGCATATCCCTTATATCAACACAAACATCATCATCTAATGACCTGCTATGTTGCACTGGATCAGTATAGCTCAATGGAGCAGCCTCCAGCATCTCCCTTGTATCAACACAAACATCATCATCTAATAACCTGCTATGTTGGACTGGATCAGTATAGTTCAATGGAGCAGCCTCCAGCATCTCCCTTGTATCAACACAAACATCATCTAATGACCTGCTACATTGGACTGGATCAGTATAGCTCAATGGAGCAGCCTCAGGACCAGCATATCCCTTGTATCAACACAAACATCATCATCTAATGACCTGCTATGTTGGACTGGATCAGTCTAGTTCAATGGAGCAGCCTCAGGACCAGCATCTCCCTTGTATCAACACAAACATCATCATCTAATGACCTGCTACGTTGGACTGGATCAGTCTAGTTCAATGGAGCAGCCTCAGGACCAGCATATCCCTTGTATCAACACAAACATCATCTAATGACCTGCTATGTTGGACTGGATCAGTATAGCTCAATGGAGCAGCAGAGTATTGTGGACTCAAGACAGTCACTCCTCCTGTTTCCCCAAGTCAATAATTAGGATCGGTTGACCCTACGGGTGACCATCAATGGCATTTGCACTCTTACAATAGTACTGGGATGGTCAAAACACACTACTGCGCTTCTTTTATATACCGTATTCGCCATAATAAGTTCCTGGCCGCATACAAAATTGACAAAGGGAGATGAGTATTTAAACTATATACAAGTCTAATTTGTTTTCAGAGATAGAACCTTAGTGACCAAACTTCATTCAAATGTTAACTGAAATGTTTTCAATAACAGTTACAAGGCAATAATATTGTTTCTGTGTTGCTTCTTTCTGCAAAAATCTGTAACAAACCCAAGAAAATATGGACTGTCATGTCAATGTTTGGTCTTTGTTGGGAGTGACTTTATAGATTACTTACAGACTGGTCTAAAAGTAGGTCAGGGGGTGCTTATTGGAGCAGGCCCTTATTAGGGTGAATACGGTAGAGACAAAAATGGCTAGTGTACTGCGACGGTGTGATGAGTACCTTAACTTCCTACAATGTAGCTTTCCTTGCAGTATTTCACATGATGAATGCGTCCGTCTAGATTGAGGGAAGTATAAGGGACTTAGGTACTCATGATAAGTATCGGATATACAGGATGAAGAAGGATAAAGGGGCCTTTTCAGCCCACTGGAAATGTCAAAGTTCAATGTTGTAGAAAACATCCAAATATTGATATGAAAATTATCAGGCATGTTCAAATGGCTGACAAGCCTTTTTTCCTTTTCTTACACGAGCAGGCTGGGACTTCAAATACATGCATATGGTCATGTGTAAGGGTGTGCAGTATTTCCGGTATATCGGTAAATTGAAGTTCATTCTTTCCATGATACTCATCATTTTTTCATGCTCGATATATTGGGTGATGTCAAATAGCGATTTTTATCATGTGTTCAATGTTTTATACTTGCCAGAAGCCTTGGCTTCCCCGGAACATGCATCCAAGGTCCCAAGATGGCTGTGTATTTATTGTTTTGTTTTGTTTGTAGTTTAACGCCGCACTCAGCAATATTCCAGCTACATGACAACAGTCTCTAAATAATCAAATCTGGACAAGACAATAAGTGATTGACGTCATGAGCATCGATCCACGCAATTGGGATACGATGACATGCATCAACCAAGTCAAGAGGCCTGACCACTCGATTCCGTTAGTCGCCCATTAAGACAAGCATAGTCGCTTTTTTAAAATTGTTTGATAGGCATTACTTAGAAGTTGACTTAGAAATTGTGTCTACCTAGTCGCTTTTTACTGTGTATTTATTGACTGAGTAAACATTATGTTGTACCAGCATCTTGTTTTGTTCAATTTATGAACTTCAGTTCACGCCTTAATGTGTCAGATTGCTTCTGAATTCAAAATTGAGAATTATACAATATATCATGATATGTATTGCAATACGACCTTGTGCATCGCAAAATATTGTGATACACTTTAAGCCTCCAATACCCATTCCTAGTAATGAGGGGAAAGCAGAATTTTCAACCTTCAGATGAGTGAGTGAGTGAGTGAGTATGGTTTTACGCCTCTTTTAGCAATATTCCAGCAATATCACGGCGGGGGACACCAGAAATGGGCTTCACACATTGTACCCATGTCGGGAATAGAACCTGGGTCTTTGGCGTGACGAGCGAACGCTTTAACCACTAGGCTACCCGACCGCCGCTCAACCTTCAGATGAAAATCTAAGTATAAGCATGTCCATGTCCATATGTTGGTACCCGTAGTTTTTATCTGAAGTCAAAGACTTGCTCCTGTTCAAATATAACATGCATCCTGAAAAGCTCCAGAAAAAGCCTCTTTGACACATTCTGTCCCTACCTATTCATGTAAAGTTGTCCAAAACTTTCATAATTTAAAAAAATAGTTTTGCTCAATTCTTAATTCATCATATCCGGTTGGCCCCAAAGGGCCCTTATCCTGTTTCTGAATGAAGCCCAAGTTTCTCTTCAACAAAGGAGTACAGAAGAAAATGAAAAACAGTAGATGTCATATTTATTATGCGTATTGATACAATCATTAGTGACACAAGGCATCTATGTTAGCTGTTGATATGTTTTCTAACCATTGGGGTATGGACAATTGCAGTGCATCGGCATCAGTCTAATACAGTATGACTGGGGGCAAGGGTGGCCCAGTCCTGGCCGATTCGCTGTGCAGAGTTGCATCCCTTGGGCACGCCAGAAACCTGTGATTGTGGGTTCGAATCCCGGTTCGCCCCGATTATGTTTCTAGGTTTGTCAGCACCATACCCGTGCTTGTGGGTTTCACCGAAGTGGTAAACGTCTGAGACCTGCATCACTTCGGGCTTTCCTCCCATATTAAGCTGACACGCCGCGATATAACTGGAATACTGTTAAAAGCGGCGTTAAACCCACCTCACTCACACAGCGTGACTGAGTCCAACATCCACAGAGTTCTGTGCAATAGACATATCTCCCCCATGCTTAAGTATAGAGAACTTAAAGGGACAGTACGGTGAAGGTCCTTTGTGTTTTTAAATCATGCACGAAATAATCTAAGAGTGTGAAGTCACACCTTTACTTCATACATGATTTGATTCACAAACCCAAACAGAGCTCCACACAGCGAAGCTGACAATGCAATTGCCGGCAGAGTAAACTGGCTTCAGTCATGTTTCTTATTAGAGGCAAATTGAAGAGAAAGCTTACCGGGTATGTGTTTTTGTTACGGATACATTGCAAAATACTAATTGCCAGTTTGATTAGATTAGAAGCCAGTGTTTATCAAAGCCTAGATTACAATATAAATATGCCTTGGTTGAATGAAGCCAGTCACTCTCCTTCCTTCACAGTGTTCCCTGCAGCCAGCCTGGTATCTCCGTCACATCGTAACATCTTACAGAGTCCATTCATGTGTTTTTCATCTGCTTCATTTTGGATGAGTCTACACATTTGGATAAACATAGGTCATGAAATGATTAACTTTCATTGAGAAAATCCTAAACTGTGAAAAACTATTTCCATTTGTGAGTTTATCCTCCACATGCTGTCATCGAAGCCCAACGGAGAGTAGGGATGTGGCCACTTTGATGTGAAAAGCTATATTGTCATGCATCTCACTGTCGCAGTTGTAGCAGCATATCTACATATTATACAAAACAGTATGTAACGCGCACTTGCTTTAGGCCCATCTGTTATTATTATGAATAAGAGAAAAGACTGGTCTCAAGATAAGTCTACACTCGCAGTGTGGTCACTGGACCTGACCTTTCTCTTGTGGAATAGGCGATGGTTCAGAATGGTTGATGTACGGTCCCTTTAACACGAGTCAGAGTTGGAAATTAAGCATGAAAGTCAAGAAGCTGTCATTACCGTGATGCTAAATGTGTAAGATTCCCTAGATTCAAATACCACAGGAGCAAACCTCAAGGACTGATAATATTCTCAGGTTTTGTGGCAAACATAACACCAGAATTTGTGATATTCTTCTCTTCTTCTTTCTTAATATTCAAACCTATATGTTTCCCAAACTTGGGAATTCGATCATGAATTTCTATTTTTTAGAACAG